AAATATTTGATGATATCTGCAAATAATCAGAGATATCTTTCATTGAATCAAAATCCTGAAAATCTATTCACGTCAGCATTTTTTGAACAATTGTAGTAGAAATCTTTCCCAAATGGCTAGAATTGCAACATGTATACATGTACATACGAATTGATTTCATTCTGTTAATATGTTAATTCATTCAATATATTAGATATGATAAAAAATTCATTAACTTTTATCTACGAACTCAAACAACTACATCATAAAAATTACATCATTTATGTTGAAATATTGAGATGTTTTTGGTCCACATGACATTAAATATTTGTGTGGAGAGGGTTTAGGCTATGCCTGCTGCGTAATATATTTATATTACATAATAAAATATATTCAAATTTATATATTTGTATCCGACAAAGATTTTAAAAAAATACACTGCTGGGCTGGGTTTATTTCTCCTCCTTATACTTAATCATATTTTCAGAAAAAAAAGGCATCTTGCAAAATAAATATTACATAAAATATTGAACAGGAGTGATGAAATCGAAGTTTCTTACTAGCCAATTCTAAGTTGATACGAATTTATTCTTCGTCTGTTAGTAATGAAACTCAACATTGTGTAAATGAAGAAATGAATTTTGACATCCTTGAATATTTGAACATTGATTTTTCCGAAAAAATCTTCAATATTTGTTTTTTTTTAAAGACTGAAATGTTAAAGATTGTTCATGTGAGATCAGATACACGTGAATAGATGAAAAAAAGAATTATGAAATTAGTTTAGGAGGCGCAAATGTTAGTGCCTATCAATTGCACATTTGTTTGTGTTGACAACATTGCTGTCGACAAAAGTACTTCAGTCTCTGATTTCGCAACGTCATAATTTTGAACCTCCCTGAAATGGGACCTAATATTGACTTTTTCAAAATACTGACAGTTTGTGAGATCACCATGGCAGCTTCTGAGGCGTTGTACTTTTGTGCATTGCTTAAAAGATTGTGCTCAGTCCTTTTAGGATCTAACAATCTATAATTAACGGATGCCAACAATATCCCTCATATTATTTGAAAGTAATAAAGACCTACATGTAGATAGCCAATGCAATACAGCATTTAGTTGATCGTTGACTGATGTTTTTCATATAAATTGTTGAGCCATAATTTCACCCTAAAATGATAATTTTCAGGTTGATTGATCAAGACAAGGAGCATACGGCAGGTTGGATCCACGTGACCATGGCAAGGGAAGCTTGCCTCTCTTGGTCAGCTGATCCCAACTCTGTTATTCCTAGTGGTCCTTGTTTGCTTTGAGCTTTTTTTGAGCTTGATTGCTATTCGTTATCTTGGTAATTCATTTCAAAGTCACGATATAGGAATATTTGAGTTTTATGAAGAAACTTACTTTTACAATTGACGACTGACTTCTACAATCAAGTTAAACAGAGACCAACTAAAATTACTAAAATGTAAAAGTCAGCTATCGAATGTAAAAGTAAATCTCTTCATAAAACTCCATTTACAAATCTAGGAAGGGGTCATACGCAAGTCATGCATAGCATGACTTATAGTACAAAGAAGTTAAATCGTCTCATCATTTGAATGAAATATATGGATATAAAGAGGAGTATTCAAGCTCAGAAGGCCATTAAACAATACAAAATTTGAGCAGAGCAAACACGGACCTCCTAAACATCAGAGGTAGAATCAGGTGCCATGGAGGAGTGAGCATCCCCTGCTGACCGGTCACACCCGCCGTGTGCTCATTGTCATGATCGGGAAATAAGGGAAAATCCGTCGACAATTCAGTGTGTATAAAATGATCTAACAATTAGTATAAGAATGAGTCGGCAGATATATTGTATTTGCTTACAAGGTCATTGTATCGACCATAGAACTTTCGAAATGATGCCTTTAAGGCTGCTGATATTCTTGCTTCAGCAACTTGAAATATCAATAATTTAACTCGTTTTAGAAATTGTTCATAATATGTAGAGCATGATCCTACGTATTGAATCAACTGACAGATATAATCCCCGTATACAGGTGCATGATGAAGGTACTGAGTATATTGCTACACGAGTAAGGGAAGTTGACTATTGAAAAGTTAAAGTCATCAGGTTTATCATAGAGCTCGGTTGTTAGATTACCTCAAGTATCTTTTTAAGAAAAATATCTAAACATGAGACAGATGTTTCCGACTCTGTCATGTGTCTGTGGCATCTTTTGTTTCAATCTCACATGGATAAATCTTATCGACATAAGAATGGAAATAAACACTGTTACATGCAGTTAACAATACATTTGTACGTCGTAGATATATCTAAATTTCAAGTTGAAGGCCACAAAAAGATTTTAAACAAATTCTACTTCATATGAATACAAGAAAAGGTCTGTTATAAAGTACTTGTATAAAGTGAATGAGATTTGGTATATTTCAACAGAATGTTCACTCTATCATATCAATACACAAGCTTTAAACGAGTGTGAGTATGTGAGTGGTCAACATAAGAGGCTTATTCCTCCTAGGCATCTGACCCCACCTCTAGATGTTTAGGGGTACGTGCCTTGTGCCATATTCAGGTATTGTTTATCGATTTTTTTTTACCTTGATCAAAGTTTTCTTTACCTTTTAAAATCTATTCAAAATAATTTAAGCTGTTCTTCTTTTACACACTGATAGTCACACTAATGAAATGTAAAGCTAACGAAAAGCAATCATGCTCAGAGGCCTAATTAGATAACAGAAGGTTATGCAGTGCAAACATGGACCTAAAAAGAACCGGTGACATGATAGACATTCAAATGATTCAATGTCGACCGGTCACACTCATCATGTGTCCCAAAGTCAGGGTAGAGGAAACGGAAATATCCGTAGACAATTCAGTGCAGTGAAAAAGAAAAGCCCTTGAATTTGTTTAAAAAAACGTACCTCGGTCAACTTTCCACTTAATGATAAATTGGATCTTCAAAAAAGGTCATTGTATCGATGATTGTCAGGACCGAGTTATGAAAAATACATATACTCTATTTAATGTTAATGATAATGCCCTAAGATGCCACTCAATATGCGACTTTACCAAAAAATGCATGGATTTAGCAAAATTGACTGTAGTAGAAGTTGTTAACACAAGTGTTTGGTCGATACAGCGACCTTTTCAGCATGTACAACATATCATTGAGTCAAAAATGCTGACTGACGTTTTCATACTTATTCAAAGACCATATTTTACAAAATGAATCGTCTACGTTTTTTTTTTTGTTTGTTTTATCCCGATCATAACAAAGAGCACACGGCGAGTGTGGCCGCGGTCTGCAGGAGAATCTCAACACCTCCATGGCACCTTATCCCACGCGATGTTTTAAAGGTCCGTGTTAGCGCTGCTAGTGATTTGTATTGTTTAAATGGACTTCCGAGCTTGAATACTCTATGTTCTTATTCGTTTCCACTCAAACGAACATAAATAATTTATAAAATAAATAACAACACGTATATAGGTAGGTACAGAAGCGCTCTCGTAAGTGCAGTTTAATATTATACACAAAATATACATTTCCAACTTTCCACCTTGACAACTCATCCAATCTACAAAACAAAACATATAATTAATAAAACAAACATGATACTTGTGAGGGTGGGTGGGCGGGGCAATGTCTGACTGCACTGAGAAAGAGCCTTCGAATGGCATTTAAATCTTACACACGCTAAAGCGTGCGTGCTTTAACAGAATACCTGTAGAACAGGTATTCTATAAATACTTCAACCAATCAGACCGACACTCTTCATATACACTAGATTAACACGTGTCCGATTGATACACGTGTTATGATAACTTCAATAAATACATATTCATTATCTCCGTAAATTTCATCAACTTGTTTTTCAGTAGCTTATTTCTATCTACAAAGGTTTTGTATAATGCAGATCATTCTTAACATGAAGACATAAACAACATATGCAGGTAATACATTGCTGTAAGATAATTGACTATAAGGGTTTAAGTAATTAATTTGCCATTAATATTGTTTTCTAGGAAGCTATCCAAATATAAAATAGATCTTAAAATATATCTCGATATGTTTCATTTTCAACTCTAAATAACACTATATGCTCTCTTTTCAATGGGATATCGAAACAACGTTGGAAATGGACATAAATATCATTTGATACATTGTTATCGACATATCAGAATGTCGAATTAAAGACCACTGCAAGACACTCTTTTAATGTAGAAATTTTGAATAAATTGTGCTTATTACTAATAGATATAATGGTTTCGCAGTAAATTTTAACAAATTGATGGAAGAACAGGTCTCCAAAGATTACATATATATGATCAGTTGGAAACTAGAGCATCTTTGGCAATGCCATTCTTGATACTATGCAGAATCAGAATGTTTTAACAAAAAACTTAAATCTGCAGATGACCCATGACAAAGTAAGCAAATTTATGAAAACCATTTAAATTTGTCTATGATGTTAAGAAAACTCTACTTATTACAGGATATGATATTATGAAGTGTTGAAGATTTGTGTTATCTGATATTTTTGTTTATGATAACTCTTTAGTTGCGAATTTTCCAAAACTAATCTTTCTTGCAGCTTTTGAGTATCCATCATTGATAAACACCATGTATTGAACTGTTGTTAATATTTTCGTGAGATGAAAGAAAACTTTGTAGAAAATTTACGAAAACCCTTGAAGTTTATATTATACAGTAAGGATTTTCGTGATTTTGTTTTAATCCAGTATTATTGATATGGTAATAAGACTTCATTATGATTGGGAATATGAAAAAAAATTAGAACTGGCATTTGATTATGACACAAGTTTTAAAAAATAATGGGAAATAATTAAAAATGTATTTGTAAACGACTTAAAATTATATAGTGGTTTAAAATAAGGATAAATCCACTTGACACACTGCTGGAATTGACCTTTATATTAGAGATAATATATGATTACTTATATATACATATACTATATATATTTGTCACTCAGCATTCCGTACAATCGCGAGACTGTGTTGTGGTACATTTTAAAGTACACACTTGGTGGAAACCCGCTTTAAGGTTTATTTATCGAAGATAAAGGATTTCTAGCCGTGGTTTTCTTAATTCATATTATACACGTTCGTCAAATGCTTGGATATTAGGGTATTTGTGGTTCGTCATACGCCGTCTAGTGATGAGCAGCGAATACACAAATCTGTCATCGTCGCCTTAATTTGACAGTTTTGGGAAGTTTTGTAAGTGTTTTGACATATATTATCTTTTGTTTTGGTAATTTAAATCTTTCTTTAGAGTACATATCTTTTTAACATTTTGATTTTTTCTACATACTTTATGTAACATTATACATAAAGTATGTCGAAACTGCTTTTATGAACTTTGAATCTAAAAAAAAAAAAGAGTTTTAAAGAATGCAGATTAAATACACAATTTGTACTTGAAATGATTTTTTTTTAAATTATCTCAAAAATAATTTTTTTAAAAATATGTATAATAATGTTTTTGCGATAAAATGAATAACAAAAACAAATTGGATATTTTCAAATTATTTAATTGATTGCATTTCTATAACTTTAACAAAACTATTTTGCTGAAATCTGAGAACTACTGGAAACAAATTTATTTTAAATTTAATTTTGATATCTCATGAATATATGGACAATTCGGTTGAATATGAATGATTCTATGTACAATCAATTAAGTTCCTTTGTCTTCCTTTTCGGTACATTATATAATATGCTATCATATTGCATTGAATGATTGACCTTCCTTAGAAAGATAAAAGGAAAGAAATTAAACTAAAATACTAATGTAGTAATTATTAATAATTGATAAGAAATCAGTTCTGAGTAAGCATGAAGAAACAGAAATAAATGTAGTTAGTTTTTACGAAAAAAACAAAAAAACATTTAGAATCATTACATTTGATTTAATTAATTAAATTGAACAAGCAAAATATAATTGCTTTTCCAAAAATCTAAAACTTTTATAATGCAAATGATGAAGAGAATAATATGAGAAATACAAATCATTAATGAGAATACATGTGTTATAATGTTAACTGTCTTGCCTTCTTTCCGTAACGGTGATAGAGATGTCCATTTGGATTATTCTTGTAATTACCCTGAAGATACAAAATAATTAGAAACAGGGTGGGCCACGATTAGGCAGTTATGTGCATCTACTCGCACCCGGGTCTGCGTAACAGTCGGTATGTCTCCCTAATACACGGAAAGATGTACCCCCGGGGGTAGCTTTACGTCACAAGATACAAACAGAATGTAATATTTGAGTCACCTTCCGTTTTCCGTTCACAAGTTTTTACTACTATCCTTGACTTCTTGTTCATTGACTGCCATTAATAGGAAGTGTGTCTGTCGAAACGCATCATGTGAATCAAACCAAAAAATTTTAAAAATGTGACTTAAAATACGTAAATTTATAATTGTGGCGATTAAGTTTAATTTGGGAAATATATATACTGAAAATATTTTTATTGTTTTAAATTTAGGATCGTGTTTGAAAAATGACAAAATGGTTGCTTTTAGTTGTCACGTGCACGTGTCTTCTATTTGGAGATGTCGCATCAGGTGAGGTTACATTTATTTACGTTTAATAATAATCAAATATAGTACGAATTGTTTAAATTTTGATAAGAAATGTATACCTAGATAAACCAATTATTGACGAAAATATTTTAGTTTAGGACAATCGATGACCTTTTAAGAAAAACGTTGATAAAGAGATATAGTTTGTTGTCAGACAAGATATTTATTTACACAGGCGTGAAAATTATTGATTTGTCTGAAAATGAGTTTTAACCTCGGGGTTGCCTTCTTGACTTATCAAAGAACGTTTTAATCACTTATATCTTATGTATATTTGTCATGTACAAAAAAGAAAAAAAAATAGAATTAAAAATTGTAACAACCATATCTTATAAACATAATCCTTTTTAAGACATTTAAATACTATTTTCTTCATATAATCCTGAAAATTTCGAGTATCAGCCCTTTAGAAAGTTATACTCTTTTCGAATACATGGCATATTTTTGTGTTTTCAGAAGAAATCCATCAAGTATATGACTTTGAGATTGACAGTGAAGGCCATGCAATGGAGGGGTACTTATTTCCAGATCTTCACTCAGGGGACAAAGTGCAAGTGAACTTAGCTGAGGGCGAATCTCTCACGGAGAATGCCAGGGATGTGAAATACATCCGCCTGAAAATTCTCAAGTCAAAAAATAATTCGGTATGTTGTAAATTTCATGTACGTAAAAATAATTTTTGCGATTTTTTTATGTCATGAAAATAAAAAATATTACTTAAAATGAAATCACTGTTTGAAATATTACCATCAATAAGTTCATCTGTCTTTTTGAATGATGTTTTTTTTTTCATGCCATGTTTTTTTTTTTATAGAGTGCTCCCCCTTTCCGTGTGTTCGACTCGGAATACTTCTCAGTCGACAGAAACAACTATATTGTGGTGGACACTAATCACACTGACGAGCTACAAGAGAAAAGGGAGCTTAGGTTTTATGTAAGTTTATCATTACGTTCGTTAATAAGTCTGATTGAAATGCACCGTGAATTTTCCATTTATTGCATAAATAATCATCAATTAACTAGTTGTTAAGTACAAACAATCTGAAAATACTAAAACTCAGCTGACCTTTGGATTTGGAAAAGCATGTGGATTGTAGAAATGAGTTTATACATGCATTAAATATTAGCATCTTGTGGTATTATAGTCCGAACACTTTAAGCATTTTACTTTTTTCGTTCCAGGTTGTACTTATTAACGAACATGGCCAGGCTGTCTCAAATCCTCTTCCATTTATTGTCCGTATTGAAAATAAAACTGAAGAATCAGTGGACTACCCCATGCATTCTGCCATTTTTGCAGGGGTTTTAGTTTTGATTATAGTTCTGCTAGCGCTGGGAATTCCATTTGTGGTAAGGGCAAAGAGGAGATACAAGCAAGGAAAACCAGTAATGAAACTAGGTAGTCATCCGGGTTCTAGTCCGGATTTAAAGACCATGATGGTTTCCGAATCGGTGGAGGATATTCCCGGAATGAAGCACCAACAAAGTGAACCAAACTGGTATGGGGAAAAGAGTATTTTCTCCTATGAGGACGAGGTGAAAACAGAGAAAGCTACCTTCACCAAAGAAATCAAACAGCTAGAGAGGAAAATTTCACAGGGACTTAGTAGTAATAGTGCTGCACTAGACGATGACGACGGATTGGTGAAATATACAAAGACTCCTCAAAAGGGTATTCTTAAGCATAACGACTCTAATCATAGTGACAATGAAAAAGTGTCCGTCTCTGCTGATGTGCATGGGAAGCCCTATAGTGAAGAACAATCAAAACTATAGTATTGCATTTCACCAAAGATGTTTTTTCTTCAAATATATAGTTTTTATAGTGAATTATTTGTTATACATGTACATCTATATAAGCAAAGCTTGATTAATTTACTGTATATTATAGTAATCAAATCAGATTATACTCTGTATATTTTAAAATTGTATTTTGTTATGATATAATTTATGATTATTTATATGGATGATATTTATTTCAGTAAAGTTTTCAGAATTAAGAGCGATTCACAAACTATTTTATTTTTTCCTCTGATGATTTTAATTATGAATATTAAATGACAAATGATTTCACGTTACAAGGATTCTAAGTATCTCATTTAAAGAAGGCTTTTTGCAAGTTTAGCAATCGCTGTAATATGACTTCTTTAAATATAAATTTTATATAACATATCCCATCTTTAGACCTATCACATCTTTAAATTGTATTTTATCCAATTTAGTTCATACCATTTACGAGGATATTTTTAAAATACTTAATATGGCATGGTTTAGTCTGTTTACGATCAATACATACGAAAGGTCTACAACGGGTGTGAACAATCGAAAGGATGCTTAATCGTTTTTCTAGCGATTGGAGTCAATTTCGGTCAAACCGGAAGTTGTCTTAAACCGCTTTAAATTTTTCACCAAAATCAACATAGATTTCAATCATATAAAATACTAAATACAGATGGATATCAATTTTGGTTTGGAGGCTTTCTTTTGAACGAAAACACAACTTTTATTTACCTATCTTTGAAGCAGTGCTTCTGAAGACGGACGGAAGACCTACTCGTTGCTTTACAACGAGCTTTGCTCTAGTTACTTTCCTTCTAAGTCCGCGAGTGATCTCGCAAACTACTCATCCATTTGAAGTAAAGTCTTTTAAGGATTAATAGGAATGTAAATCCATTTATTACAGATCTTTCCTACATGAGAAAGGAAAGAAAAAGTGAAAATAATTTTATGAACATGAACTTCAAATGCATTCATATCAGTGTAGATTACAGATAGCAAGAAGACTTCCTGTCAGTTAATCTTGCCCTTTCCTCTGGTATTTCCTCCAGACTTCTACAGTGACGTAGCATCATTTTTGAAAAGGGGGACAACCAGAGAAAAAATTTCAACCTACCTGAATAAAAAAAAACATGACAAGCAAAAAAATATTGCCCAAACTCGAAAATCATATTTCGAGTTTTGGCGTGGGTTTTGTTGGGGTTGGGGGGGGGGGGGGGGTTAGATTCTACATATACTTCTTTAAGTACCAAATCAGTTTTCTTCTGATATACTACATTGTCCTTATTTTACCCAGGTTACTCTTACAAAAAAGTGGGGGCCATTCAATAAACATTTTCTAATGGTAAAAAGTTATCATGTTGTTACGTGCCTGCTCTGTATACGTGTAAGTTGAAATCAGACCTGGGCCAGGACTGTTCCTTGACATTTCTGATTGTAATTAAAGAACATACACAAGGTACCTTACCTACTGATAATTTTTCAAGATATTCTAAATTTAAACTTATAATACAATTACATGTTCTTACACAAAAAATCAGCATGCGTTACCAGGGGTTTTGAAAAGATATCATATTATGAACAGTTTTACATTAAACAAAGAAAAATGTACAAAAATTATAAAACATGAATTCCAGATATTTTTTCTATCAAAATTTGTTAAGAAGAGGTGTGCAAATCCATAAATAAACATTAAAAGTATTCCACACATGTCCTTCATTTAGTGGAACTCTTCAACTGCAGGGAAGAACTCAATAAAGTTCAAACTACATTGTGTGTGACCTTAAATGTTGACAGCCGATAAGTTAACTAGTTAACAGTTATCGTCTGCAGCTTTGTTGATGGCGAAATGTTATCGCTAATATATCACTGATACCTGATAGTCGAAAGCAAAAATAGTTCTTATAGCAGTCCAGTTTGGCAATTAAGTTTAGGGAGTGATAGGATACTTGACATTTAGAATTTTAAGATATTTTAATGGTGATAAGGAGAGAAGTGGATAAAAGAGAAGGAAAAAAATGTGCTGAGATAGAAAATCGTACATTTCCCCATGCTATACATAACAAATAGAGTTAATAATCATGGACCTCTTAGCGTTTACTTAAGCTAAGACCCCCTCCCCCCTGATTCCGAATCCTATGTATAACAAAGACCCCTGCCCTCTTTCAAACGATTAACCCCTCCCCCCCCCCACACACACATGCACACACACACTTCCCCTTCTGAAATGCATATTCAGTTTATATGTAAAGTCAGAAAGAAAGTTACAGTGACGTAGCATCGTTTTTGAAAGGGGGGGGGGCAGTCAGGGAAAATAAAAAAAAATTACTTACCTGAAAAGAGTTGACAAGCAAAAAAAAAAAAAAAAATCATATTCTGTGGGGGTGGGAGATGGGGGATGGGGTGTAAAAGCCAGCTTTTTTCAACACAGACTTCTTTCAGTGTCAAATTTTCTACAAATACAATTACCACATCACTAAATTGATACTGTTGCTACGTGTCTGAGTTAGTGAGAATGAAGTTTTTAAAAGTTTGACAGGTTTAATTGAAGTAAATTTGTATCTAAGAAAGGTTGTCAAGTTGTTAAGATAGCTATGTTCAAAATACAACTTGTCGTTCATCCTATGAGATAGAAATAAAAGGAGTTATATATATGACTACAAACCTAGTCTTGTAGGTTCTTAGTAAAACCATTGTATCTCTAGACCAGCTTTAAGTGAAACTTTAAAAATGTTAAATGAATCAAATTGAAAAAAAAAATCTTACTCTTTGTAAAGATGTTTTCAAAAGAATTGAAGTATACATGTAATTATTTTTTTTTTTAATCAGCATCTTACTTTATATTTAAGCTTATATCGTAAATTTTATACATGTATAGCATACTAACCGTAACGTGAGTTTAGATCAAACGATTTTATCTTTGCACATACACTGTATGCTATAATATTGATCTGTGGATCTACGTACTTCAAATAACCGCAGGCACGTAGCAACAGGGGGGGGGGGGGGGGGGGGGGGCAGCTGCCCCCCCCCCCCCACTTTTCTTGCCAACAATACTTTTACTATTGAAAATGTTCATTGAAAGGCTGATTGCCCCCCCCCCCCACTTTATACTAAAGTAAAGTAATATGAAGGAAATGTTAGTGAAAAAGTTTGCCTCAAACTCCCCCCCCCCCCCCCCCCCCCGGCCACGAAATAGGATTTTCGACTTTGGGCAATTTTCCTTTTCTTTTTTTTTCTTTTTTTGCTTGTCAACTTTTTCAGGTAAGTAAAAAAAAATTCTGTGGCTGGCCCCCCACTTTCAAAATCGATGCTACGTGCCTGAACGGTGTCACTATTCCATCATTTTCAAATGAATTAACTGATTTCAAGTAATCGTACACATACATGTATGCCATTTGGAGTTTTTTTTTAATGAAATATTGCCTATTGGGGAAAAGGGAAACTGAAACTTTTTATTTCACTAAAGCCCCCACATGGGGTATGTTTAACAACTGAACAAGTAAACCTTTCAAACTAAATTGATACAAAATTGAGTATACATGTACAATGTGAAGGAAAAATTCTCATTTTTACAGAAACTAGCCATTCTAGACTTTACTAATATACTAAGTGGTATTCTACCCAGTTCTCCATAAACAATGCAATGAGGAGTAGCTTTTTTTAACTTTCAATCTTTTTTTTTTTTTTTTTTTTGTACAAAATTCCATATGAAAGGATTCTAAAATGCTACAGTTTTCAAAACCCTATACTTCTAGACCATACAACAAAATAGCTGTACAACAATAGTGCCAAAAACTTGCAGTTGCAGATCAATTTCCTAGATTTTCTAAGAACAATATACATAGCTTTTCTGGCTTGTTGAACCAAATGTGATTTTGCATCATTAAAAGTACCTTTACTAGAAAAAAATATTCCAAGAGGTTACAGACTACTAATTTTACCCCTATTTCATTGACCACTCAAGTAGTTCCAGTTTAAAAATAGAGGTTTTTTCTTAAAAATTCTTTGGGGTGTTTATGGGGTGGACTGATGTTATTTTTGGGTATAGATGGAAAGGAGAGGGATTGAAAAAAAATATAAAATTGTTAATATGTGAAATTTTGCACTTAAGCGCGTAGTAGTAAGGGTGTAAAGTGGCCCATATTTACCCTTTCCCCAAAGAGAAAGTGAAAAAAGCAGGGTAGGGGTTATTTGCGATGCCTTAGCAGGAACTGCATACGATGAATTTTCCTGAGAGTCTGAAAAATTTTTGGACTTGAATTCTTCTTACTCTGTGCCAAGTTTCAGGTAAGTTGAGCTGGTGTAATTTTTTAAATCATTTTTTATAGTATAAAGGAATGTATAGCAAAATAATTGGTAGTCTGTGTCCTATGAGGTCAAAGGTCAAATCTCCCGTTAATCAATTTATTGGCACTTTTTGGATAATTTGGAACTAATTATGCAAATTGTTGACAAATTTAATGGAAAAAATTGTATTTTGGAGAGGTTAAATGGATTTAGAAAATTGAAAAGGGGGAGGGGGCACCTGCTCAGGTTGTCAAAGGGTATGACGTAATGTGTGCAATTGCTGTGTGTCAAGAATTTATGCAATATGAATTTTGATTCTATATATAATGTTGTAGGTGACATAAAACCCATTCTTCGCCTATCCTGTTATTTTAAATGCCAAATGGAGCTCAAAAACCAAGGTATGTTTCAATCATTTGATTGGTCAGATTACACTGTTGTTATAGGAAATAATTGCCTAATTTCTAAAAACTTTGGCTACTTGGTGTCTGTGATTATAGTTGACACAGTTACTTATTAATTTGACACAATTACTTATTAACTATGAATGTAAACTAAAGTTGAAATTCATAAATTTTTTTCAGTGCCTCATTTCTAGCTGACTGATGTGGGATTGCAAGCAGTTATAGCCTGGATAGGTGACTTCATAAAATATCAGGCCAGTTGCCAGTCAGAAGTGAACAATTTTGTACCAGTAGCAGAGACAATGATCATTCAGAAAACAAGATACAGCTGTCAACAATATTACAGTCCACAACAGCCAAATTAAAGGTATATAGTCAACTGACTCTTAAGTTTGTATTATTTTTTGTGTTTGATTTCTTTTTTTTTTTTACACTGTTTTCATCTGTCATCATCATCTCTTGCCAATCAATGTGTACTCTCTGAAACTTTCTCTTTTTCCTTCTTCTTTTGGAATTGAATATTTGCTGTCTGATTGCTGGCACAGATCTGTGATTGTCCAAGACAGGTGAGGTCAGTAAGGTGCTCAACATTTCATATGGGATGTTTGGTCCTACTGACTTCTTCTACTCTTGTGGCATCTTGGACATCATTGTCGGTGGTTGTATATCAGACAAAATCATCAGTTTTTGACAAGGAAATGTGTTTTCAAGATTTTGGATAAACATTGTGCAGAAATAGTGCTCCACAGGTATGACAGAATTTTAATAGAACTCCATTTTAATAGAACCTTCTAACCCCCCCCCCCCCCTGTTCTTTAAAGTCAAATTCCAAGGAACTCCAGGAGTGATTATAAGTGACACAGGCATTGTAAGTATTTTCTATGCTGAACCATTGAAAGTATATAGACATGCTTTTAAATCATTTTGTTTTTGGTACTTTTACAGTGCAGAGTTCCCTCCCCTTTTTCTACAGCAGCCTGAAGAATGTATGTAGGTAAAATGCATATATAAATTCCTTTTTTTTGTAAATTCAGAATTATAAAATTCAAAATTTCACAGAATTTTTGGTATTTATTATCTAATAATGCATATTGTTACAAAAAACACCCATCAAAGTAGTCTGAATATGACCAGGGATAATCCAATTAGAGTAGTAAGTACCACTTCCTGACAGAGGCTGAATTGACCAGGTTGGATAATCTGCTTATAACAAAGGTATTAATCTCTTTCTCCTAACTTTTATACTAATTTTTTATAGTCTATATATTGTAGAATTTTTTGATATTTGTTTTACTAAAATTAAAATGTGCTAGATATTTTTATTTTTAATATTTCTAAGAATTTTATGCTTTTTGAAGGTATTTTTTTGAAAAATTGTTTAAAATATTTACTTATGCAATAGGTGAAGTTTTGTTCTTGAAATTAGTGTAGGACATATTTATCTAGTATACAAAAATATAAGGAAAGAAAATAACTGTCATCTATGTGATCTGTGAGCATTTCAAATCTGAGAACTGTGTGCCTAATGCTAATTTTACCCTCTGATTTAAGGTGTTCCAGCACATCAATTAAAGGGCCATAACTCAGCTTAGGAATCATCAATTTCAATGAAACTTCACCGGCCATTTTGTAAATACAAAAGACTCCAGCATGTCAAATTTCAGCAAAATCAGACAAGGTTTGTGTCCTTATTAGGTTACAGACTACTAATTTTACCCCTATTTCATTGACCACTCAAGTAGTTCCAGTTTAAAAATAGAGGTTTTTTCTTAAAAATTCTTTGGGGTGTTTATGGGGTGGACTGATGTTATTTTTGGGTATAGATGGAAAGGAGAGGGATTGAAAAAAAATATAAAATTGTTAATATGTGAAATTTTGCACTTAAGCGCGTAGTAGTAAGGGTGTAAAGTGGCCCATATTTACCCTTTCCCCAAAGAGAAAGTGAAAAAAGCAGGGTAGGGGTTATTTGCGATGCCTTAGCAGGAACTGCATACGATGAATTTTCCTGAGAGTCTGAAAAATTTTTGGACTTGAATTCTTCTTACTCTGTGCCAAGTTTCAGGTAAGTTGAGCTGGTGTAATTTTTTAAATCATTTTTTATAGTATAAAGGAATGTATAGCAAAATAATTGGTAGTCTGTGTCCAAGATACTGGAGAAGTATTAGTCTCGAAACAAAAACTGAAATAAGAGTAATCTCCCTTTAAAGCTCTCTAGCGTTTGGAGGCGCATTTATCCTTAGCAAGTGTAATCAATATTTTTAAAAAAAGTTTTATGCATTTTCTGAATTTTAGAATCTTTGTCAAGGAACCATGGAGGTCACAAATGGACTTCTATCTAACTTAGTACAGACCAAATCAATTGAGAGGGTATTGGCGCCAATAGCTTCACAGGTACATGGAACAATTTGATATATTTTTTTCATATTTTCTGATAAGTTGATAGCTTGCGACACACCCCATCAGAATTAATATTTATCATTTTCTGAATGTGTTTATTTCTGATTCATATTTTATAATGCATACTAGTAAAGCATTGCTAAGAGGGTCTTTAGACAATCTAAGCAGACAATCAATGGTGTATCGACAATGTACAATACACAGTCGTTTTACTTAATCAGTCCAGTCCAATACGAAAAATCGTAATATTACAGAATATCGTAATATTATTCTTATATTACTCTTTTTCGTAATATAGTTAAATTACGAAAACTCGTAATATAGCAAGTTGTGAGAGACTATATTACGAGTTTTCGTAATGTAAGACAAACAAAGCATTGAAAGAAACTGAATGGTGTTAAGGAAAGTATGACGTCAGAAATACATTATGCCCCAATGGTACTAGTATCACGTGGTCATTTCGGTCAGTGACGTCTATCGAAAAGTATGAAAATGTAAGAAGAAAGTAACAGTAGTAATGGGTGAGTGAAAATTTTGTTTTATTTTTCTTTTATAAGAATTTTCCCAGGGATGGAAACAATTTTCCATAAAACTTCAATGTATCCTCAATCTTGCCACAATGGTCTATAATCCCCGAACTCCCTATATTTTTTCCGAAGTCTACCATAAAAATCAGACCCTCGTCCCCAACAACGAGATGTTACGGGATATAACTTGTACAACTTTCACGAGGCTCTGACTCTGCATGCACTTGGATCAAATGCATCAAAACAAAGAAAATACATGCATATCCACGATGATTTGATGAAACCAGAGACATATAATCTCTGATGAAACATAACAAGGAGGTTGTATCAGAAAAAAGGGAAGTAACTCTTAGAAGAGTCAGAAATTGCTTATATTACGAATTTTAGTAATATTACGATTTTTCGTGTTGGACTGGACTGTTAATTACTGATTCACAACTGATAAAACAATATGCCAGTTTTGCACAGATTATCAAAATTCTATGTGCAAATTTTTAACATTGATAACAGGTTTCCTTGTTGATTATACTGGATGAGTCGGAGAATGGTGTGGGGAAGCCAGATCACATGGGTCCCTGTGCTCAGGCCGTTATGAAAGCTGCAGAACACCTCATTAAGATTGGAAAAGAGAGAGCAAACAACTCTCCTGACCAGGTATTCAAAGTTAAAAGCAAGTATGAAGCTTAAGCTGTGAAGCATGATGGACAAGGGGGAGTGTGATAGAAATTTTGTAAAGATTTGCTTTTGTAAAAGATAATCTCAACTTATAAGTGAATAATATGCATAATCATAATGTAATATATTAATTACTGTAAACATACTTTTTTTCCACAGGGTCATAATTCCGTGGAATCTCAATTTCCGCTTAATCCGCGGGCTGAAAATTACACAGATTTCTCAGACTATTACTATATGCTTTACATTTATAAGTATTCTTGGACAAACTTCCGCAAAAAATTTGTGACTGCGTAAATGGCGTAAATTAATACCACGTGGAAAAAAGTACTTCTACAGTATGATAAATACATTCAGATTATTGTTTTATTCATTTATAACATGTATGAATATGTAATGTATCGTCAAGGACAATAAATTTGTCACTTAAGCATTAAAACGATATAACCGTGCATCTTTTACTAATAAGTTAACCTATAAATTTTAGGATTACCAGAGACAGATGATGAGTGCTTGTGAGATTTTGGATTTAGCCAGTAGTGGTTTATACATAGCCTCCCAGAGGCTTGGGGATGATTCATCTAAAGAAATTCGTACAAAAGTCATTAGTGCAGCTAAAGATGTTTTACAAGGAACAATGAAGGTAACAATATGAAAATATTTTAATTTAAGAATGTACGTTCATGTGTTCAGTTGGTAATTTGGGAAGTTTGAGCAGTGTATGTACAAAGTATTGTAAAAACTCTGGGACCTCAAATTTTCCTAGCTTCCTTATAACCAAGAATCTATACACCCATATACAAAAAAATTGTACCCCCGTACTGTAGATCATTGTGTACTATTTAACCAAGCTTTCATTATTACAAAGATCTTCATAAGTTGTTTTACTGTATTTCTGTTGAAGGTCTTGCTTGTGTCTGATGATGCAGAGGTCAGAAAAATTGTCAGTGCTGGTCGCTTGGTCGTTGATTGCCTCACCAGACTTAGTACAATTAGTCGCATGCCTGATTTACTGTCTAATTTCAAGGTATGAACTACCCCTTGTTCATCATATCTGCAGATATTTTATAATTACTCCAATTTTTCTAATTTCCTCTGTAATCTTGATCTACAGAGCTTCACTGATGGTACAACACTGCTGTGCTCGCTGGCCCAGAAACGTCAGATGGAATTATGTCAGAATCATCAAAGGGAGAGAATAATAACAGCTCTCAATCTACTGAAAAAATCTATTCCTTCAATGAGTGTGGCACTTCAGAGTTATATCAAGTACCCCAAAAATCAACAAGCACAGGTGAAAAATTCATGTAAAATCTGCTGCAGAAAATTTTAATTTTGGCTGTAGTGAATCAAGAATTCATTGAAAAATTTTCTCATGTCTGAGAGATATAAATTTGAAAGTTAACAGTGTGGCTCAGAGTCGTCCTGTATAACTTCCAAATACTTTTTACATTGTTTTGCTAATACATGCTATGAATACTTTGTTTTACAGATGAGTAAATCCTTTGTGATTAACCAGACTCAGTCAGCTGTGTCAGACATTATGGAGGCTGTAGAAAACAAATTCACTGACGAGGATTTCCTGGACGTAGAGGAACCAGGCTACTTTGTCACCAAGATTGACCAGGTCTGTCTAATGTTTTGTAGAGTTACCTCCCCTGTTAATTTTTATTAATGGAGTGTTTTGTCACTAGGGAATATCTTCAAGAACACAGTTTATGAATACCTGTAATGTATTAGATGAACATCTGAAAGTAGCTTGTAAAGTAGTACAGGTGTCTTAACAATAGATTTGAAGATAGTTTTAAGCTATATACAGTGTACTATGAATCCCCTAGCACTTGAGTTGGAGGGAATATAGTAACACAACTGTGTGTGTTAGTTTGTCCTGGAGCAAAATGGAAGTAACCTATTTTGCATTGGGATCCATGTTGAATGCTTCTTTGATTTCTAGATTAATGCTTTTAGTGAGAGGATGCTCCACTCTGCAGTCCCCTTGTTCAGTTTTTGCTTTACTTTTTGCCCCTAGGTGTTAGAGGCGCTGTCTGTGGAGAAGCGCGGTGATCTGGATGATGATCTGGAGACTTGGACAGAGAACCTGGTCCGCCACAGTATGCTGGTGGCTCACCTGTGTCTGGACTACTACAGGAATATCATCGTCAAGACCTGCCAGAGGGTTAGGGGATAAATGTTCAAGCTTACTAAAGGATAAGATGATTTTTATTTAAATTTTTTGCATGTTATTCACATGGACAATATAAATCAGGGGTGCAAAGAATTTTTATTGCAATCAGTAAGTTTTTTTCTTGAATGTAAATATGAAAACGGTGATGTATTGATTTGAATATGAAATTGTAAATCATATGTGATACCTATGTAATAAATTAATGGGTATGAATGAGTGCTTTAAATAGAAAGAGTGTGTAGTTTGTGCTAGTTGCATGGAGATGCTTTGCTTGAATAAATTGTAGACTAGTTAAATCAGTATGTACATTTGTAGATGCTTAATAGAAATATTGATATTTCAAGGTCTTGCAGTTGAAAAGCAGAGTTCTTCAGCTTCACAATGCAATGAAAAATAATCCTGAGCTGCCTGCAATTGGGTAGGAAATTTGAAGGATCAACATTGTACTAATCTTTAATTTAAACTTAAAATACTAAAATGTTCTATTTCTTCCATAAATATGACACCCAGAAAGTATGATGTATGATGGAAATTTCAGATCTAAATTTTGTACAAATAATCAGTTGCAATGTAATTAGCTACATGTATGTGTAGTAAATCTGTAAAATGTTTATGTAGTATAATTAATGAGATACATGTAAATCTTGTAAATGTACTTACATGCAGAGACATAGGGCTTGTGCTATGCTTCTGCTTTGCAGAATCGATGAAGATGCTTATTTTTTAACTTAAGAAATTACAGGCACGTCAAATTATTTCATGTGAAGCATAAAATTAGTCATAAAACCAGTTTAATAAAATCAGTGTTCCTGTTTTAGTCTGTGCTCTATTTACAGGGAGGATTATGATGAATGCTGTGAGAACTACATTGATGAATTCTGTGAACTAGAAAAGGATGTGAACCTGGCCTTACTGAACCTGGTGGTAGACATCTTCAAAGAAACCACAGAACCACTGGAGAGACTGGTGAAAGCTGCCATGTATTCTACACAGGTCAAGCTTGTTTGATTACTGTAGATCACTAAATTTTCGCGACACCTTATTTTCGTGAGATAGTTATTGACTCTTGATTAGCGAGACAAAATTTTCACGAATTGTGGTTATTGCTCTGTATAATCTTAAGGAATACTACATGTATTATACGCGAGAATTAAATTTTTGCGAGCACAATGCCTTGCGTAATTACGTGAAAATAAAGTTCTCGCGAATAAAAAGTGATTTACAGTACTGAGGCGTGGAGTTTAATTCTAGAATATATTTTAGAGAGGAATCTTTGAATTTTTAAATGCTTCTAGGAGCAGAAAGTTTTAATACTGCCCCATCTTTATATTTTCAATTGAAAGTTTAAATACATGTACATGTATTAAGTAAGTGTGCATCTGAATGCATTGAAAGATTTCTTTTCCAGGAAAAGGGATTTGAGCAGCATATGAAAGAATTGGTAACAGAATTCCAGACACATGCAGATAAAATGAGACAGATAGCCACATTTGCTGCTGCCAGCTCCACAGATGCACAACGTATGCTTTTAGAATGAGAATAATTGTACTTTTGATGAATCATCAGAATTGAAAAAAAAAATTTATTGGAATTCTTTTGTTTCATCAGGTGTTAGAACCATTCGCCGATGTGTGTGTCACCTAGAGAGACTTGACCCAGATATTGTGCCTGCAGTTGTTGCCATGGCAAAGAAATCTCAGGACAAGATGGCTGTAAGGCATGTCAAATTATTGATGAAGGAGTGGACATTTGAATTGACATCCCTGATGCAGGTTCTGGATGAAATGACTGACCCAAGTATATTTATGCAAGTCTCAGGTACATTTTATCAAGTTTCCTTAATATACACATAATTTGGGGGAAAATGTATGTAAATCTGAACATGTTTGTTTAGAGGAATATTTAACTAAATGCCTGATTTGCAATTTCACTGATGACAGGCAACCAATGAATGAAATTTAGAAAAAAAATCTTTAAAAAGCTCCAGTACTTTGCAAGATGTAAAAATGTTTAAGTTCTTCCTTTTACATTCATTTGATTAAATCTAACTTCAAAATTTTTCAACATCTGAATGATCTGACATTACTTTCAGAGTCTAGAATAAAGGAGGATATTTCCCTCTGCCGTGGGTTTCTGACTGAGGAAGATGACCTTGGTCTGGGGTCGGCAGTGAAGTCTCTGATTGGTGGAGCCAGAAGGGTGTGTCAGATGGCAGAAAGAATCATTAGTGGACATAAGGACCCACTGTACAGGAATGGATTGTTGGTGTTTGTCAAGCAACTGCAGAAAGGTAATATAACTTACAGTACTGTTAAATTACATATTTTACTGGAGGCAAATTTTCAAGGTTTAAGAAAAAAATCTTGATTTGTAGGGATTTTATTTCATGGTTGGAGAAGTGTTGAGAAGTAATGCATTTAAAATTTTTCATTTTGTGATGGTCATGAATTCGTTGGCCTTTCCATACCTGTAAAATAAGAAAAATTAACCTACATGAAATTTGATGATTGCACAGTATGCTAAAAGCAGTTTTTTGTGGCTTACGAAGCCATATAGCTCTCGGTATCTTTACGGCAAAGAGTTCACTGTGTTTTCTAGTAAACATGAGCAGGATAAAATAGTTCTCGTCACTTCTTCAATTCTATTCTACTTTTGTTGTTTTGTTATGAAAATTACTCAGGAAGTTCTTAATTACATACCTTGTTATTTTTATTTAATTTTCGCAACTGAAGACAAGATAAACCAAATTAAAAAAAAACTAAATTGAATAAACTCTTGTGAGGATGCGGAAGAATATTTTCTGATCGATCGTGTCAACAGCGACACCTTGTAGGTAAGTCTAAATGAAAGAAAGAAAACTCTGTCGGGAGTAAGTTTTCGGGCCAGATTATTATAGTTCGTAGGAATAACAGAATAAATGTATTTTACCTTACAGACTGTTTAAACAGCTGTTAAAAGGGTAATAGCAGTGTTTTCCCCAAGCCGTTTTTTGCATGGCGGTAATTAACGCCATGCATTCATGATCTCCCGCCAACTCAATGTTGTGATTGAAGTCAGTGTGAATCACGGCACGGGGTGTGATGCAATAGCTGTCAATTTTTATGCCCCGCCATGAATATGGCCGGGGCATATAGTGTTTGTCATGTCCGTCTTCCGTCCTTCTGTCCTTCCGTCCTTCCAACACACTTTGCGTTTAGCTCTGTTCAAAGCTAAGTTTCAAAGAAACTATCGAAGATATTTTCATCAAACTTCATATGCTGATAGATATTGATGAGAGTTATGCAACTGCAGCAACATTTT